TGGAATGGAATTTGTTTTTCTGTATTTAGTTTATTTGACTGTTTTAGATTCCATATAAATGGAATGGAATTTGTTTTTCTGTATTTAGTTTATTTTACTTGGCAAAATGGCCCCTAGGTCCATCCTTGTTGTTTCAAATGGCAGGGTTTCCTTTTTTTTTTTTTTTTTAAGACTGAATAATATTCCATTGTACACAGGCAGTCACACACACACACACACACACGCATGGATGCACACACACATGCATACTGTATATATCTCTCTCTCACATTTCTTTATCCACTCATCCATCGGTGGATACTTAGGTTGCCTCTATATTTTGGCTATTGTAAATAATGCTGCAGTGAACATGGGAGTGCAGATACCTCTTCAAGATTCTGACCCCCACTCACCCTCCTTTTTGGGGCATCTTGGCTTTAGACTGAGAGTCTCTGATCAGCAGAGAGAATATATTGATAGTGTAAAGAAACTTCCAAACTCAGTGGCATCATAGAAACAGGGCATATGGCATCTTAGATCATGCTTAAAGGTATACATTTTCCCAGGATTTAAAAGACTTGTCATCCTTTTGATATTATAAAATATTTTCCTTTATCCTCCTAATTTCATGTTCTCTACCACTGAGATATTCTGCATTATATAATTAATTATCAATGCTGAAATGGGTGGAAACAGGGGTGACATGATGGTGTGTCTTGGAGAGATTTTCAAAAATTTCCTTCATTGGTTCTGCCTCCATTTTATTGCTTCTTTGTGAACTTTTGAAATCTTAAAATACGGTACTACCAATATATTCTAAGAAGTTCCAGATCCACTCAAACTAACTTTTTGGCACCAGGCTACATAAATCTGTACAACAAATAAGATAATAGCAAAGATCTTTTCTCTTCCTATCTCAAAGCTAATCTGACTCCACGCAATCATACAAAATACCTCCAGATGTTAAATAACTATAATATTGCAAGGATATCTAGGAAATTCTGTAGCAGTCATATTGCTTTGCCTGCAGAGTAAAAGAGGAATCCAATACTTAGCTGAAATAGGTTGAACTTTAGATATACCTCTTCCCCCAGCTCCTTTTACCTGGGCACCTAACATAATTGAGCCCAATTCTGTTTGAGAATGTTCCCTTTTAAAGCTAAAGTAAAATAAGTACGTCTAGCTCTTACAGCTTATACAATGTTTATTTGACCCTACTTTCCCCACAGGTTGCTAATATACTTCTCTCCTTTCTTTTCTAGCCATTCATCTCATATCAAGATCTATCTGCCATTTCCAGTTCTTGAAAACAAATTCTCCTTCGCTTCCAGTCGTCTCGTGTTCACAAAGACTAATCTCCCGAAACAAACATTTTCAAAGTCAATAGTTACATTTCTAATTAACATGTTCAGTGGTTTTCTTCTTCATTTTTTTCCCCCTTAATCCTCAGAGAAAAGATTATTAGCTTTGATTAGAAGGTCATTGGTCACCTTCATTTGATGGGGAGTATGCACATGCAAATAAGATCTGGAAGGGATGAGTGTATACTATTTGTCCTAGAAATAGGACTGTAGCAGATTCTTATATTTACTGTTTTTCTAATACTTATTCCATAAAGAGTGTAGGAGACAGAGCGGTTATTAGCAACCCCAATCCTTCTGTGTGACTATTAAATAATTTACTCTCTCAGAATCTCCATACTAGAAATGGGACAGGACTTTTCTGAGTTAGTGAAATTCATATTGCTTTAAGTTCCATCATTTAAAGGTCATTTCCCAGCTCCGAAACCTCTAATTATTCAATCTGTCAGCCCTGGGGCTACCTGCTAGTGTCAGTCCACTGTGACAAGTCTGGGTTGCTAAAGAGAGAGGCAGATTCTTGACCTACATAACTAATGAGTAAAAAGCACTGCACATACTGGAGTTTTCCTGGTTGAGAATTCCTCGTAGCTCCTTCAAGTGCTGAGTATTCTCTTTCAGATTATACTCTTTTTTTTTTTTTTTTCTGACACATAGTGGTCTGTACAATTTTAGAGAAGTCACAGCTCCTTAGCTGCTCACCAACATTTCCCTCACTGTGTCTCCTCTTGTTGTCAGTTTGAATTGTAAAAGTTTGAACTTTTGGGGACATGCGTTTCTTGGCGATTAACCATGCATCTGAACCTTATGACTCTGCATCTAACTCAAAAATGCTTGCTTTCCTCTGTCAAAATAGCATTTAGAGACTAAAGGTTGGTCCACACTTTCTTATCTGAGATTGGATGATGACCTCCTCTCGTCCTGCAGACCATCAAGCCTTCGGACATCGCCACTGTCCGCACGTTGGGCCGACCCCCTCACCTCATTATGAGGATCATGGATTGTGTGCTGCTCCTGTTTCAAAGGAAAGTCAATGCAGTGAAAATTGACCTGGAAAAAAGCTGTACAATTCCGTCCTGGCAAGAATCTTTAAAACTCATGACTGCAGGAAACTTCTTACAGAACTTACAGGTTGGTAGTTCAGTAACAATGGGCTGAAAGGGGACTCAGACTTCATTAGAGTGTCTGAGTCTTTTAGTAGAATAAGTTTCAGAAAAGAATTTGCTGTGCATACATATTTTGACTTATCCAATTTTTTGCCATCTTTATTGAGGTATAATGACATATAAAAATTCTCTATATTGGGTTGCCTGGGTGACTCAGTTGGTTAAGTGTCCGACTCTTGATTTCGGCTCAAGTCATGATCTCAGGGTTGTGGAACCTGCTTGGGAGGCTCCCCCCCTCTCTCCCCCCTCTCCCTCTGCCCCTCTCTCCCCACCCCGCTCACTCATGTGCTCTCTCTCTCTCAAAAAAAATTCTCTATATTAAGGTGTACAACTTGATATTTAGAGATATGTATACACTGTGAAATCATTGCCACAGTCAAGCTAAAGTATCCATGACTTCACGGTTGCCATTTTATTTTGTGGTGAGAACACTTAGAAAATTTGGAGTATACAATGTTGTTAACTGTATTCATATTGCTGTGCACGAGGTCTTAGGACTTATTCTTCTTGCAACTTGATACTTTGTACCCCTTGACCAACATCTTCCCATTTCCCTTCCCCTTATCCCTGGCAACCACCATTCTGCTCTCTGCTTCTAGGAGTTTGACTATTTTAGACTCTATATATAAGTGAGACATGCAGGATTTGCCTTTCTGTGTCTGGATTATTTCATTTTGCATAATGTCCTCCACAAATGGCAGGATTTTCTTCTTTTTCAAGCCTTGATAATATTCTACATACATATATTGAACACATATTTAAGTATTTTTTCAGAATAGAATTTTCTCTTTCAAAAACAAGCCATTAGAGCTTTAAAAACAAGCATTAGAGCCTTTCCTGACAGATTTTAGGCTTTTAAGGCATCATCAGTGACATGTTTAAATAAAAATTAAAAAAATTATATTAAGAAAGCAATACATATGTGCATATATTGTATGCTATGAATACAAATATATGTATATTTATATTTTACAAATCTCAATAGTAATTTTTTGAGTAATTCGCAGGTTTTTAATTTTGATGTAAAACTTAACATATGATAAAATCTACAAATTTTAAGTACACAGATTAATGAATATTTACATAAGTATATACCTGTTAATAAACACAGAAATCAAGATTTGTATTTCTCGACCCCGGATATCTTTCTGGTATCCCAAACCAGTAAGTAACTTCCTCTAAGATAACCATTATTCTGATCTTTATCCTGATAATTAATTTTGTTCATTTTGAAATTTATAGATATGAAATCATGTCATGTGACTTCTTTTGTTTTGGTCTCTTTTATTCAACAAGGCTTTGAGATTCATTCTTATTTTGCAAGGGTAGTATTTCATTCTTTTTTCATTGGTGTATAGCTGTTCAGTATGTGAAGTGGTAGTATGTGGTAAATATTTAAAACAACTGGTTCTCAGAGGCGAAAAAAGAAAAAAAAAAGAACAAAAAGTCTAATTTGTAGTGTTTGCCAATTTCCATGGTGTAAATATCCCCACAATGGCCAATTTCAAGCTACCAAAATGATCTTGTTGAATGTAGAGCTGGGGAGAGGTGCCTAGTAGAATAGTAGGAATGTACCCCCACGTGGGTACAATAGATATAAACGACCTCAAAACAGGTAGTAAAATGTAGTAAAATAATATAAAGTGATTACTTCTTTTCCTATGTGTTATTTTTATTTTAAATGAAATTTAAATTGTAAGTTTATATAATTTAATTATTAATAATGGTTCTATTTAATAAGAAGTTTGCAAAATTCCTGCCAATTTAGCAATGGTTCCTCATGAGCGTGTATGAACCAGCACAGTGTGAAATGCTATCATATGTTTCAATTTATTTGTCCATTGTACTGTTGGTGGATTTTTGGGTTGTTACTAGTTTTTGGCTATTATAAATAAAGCTAAAACTACTATGAATATTGGTCTATAGGTAATTTGGTGGCTGTATTTGCATTTCAATTGGCTCTGTACTCAGGAATGGAATTTCTGGGTCTTAGGTTATACATTTTCTTAATAGATGTAAGTTTGTTTGTTTGTTTGATTGAAGTGTAGTTGACACACAATGTTACATTAATTTCAGGTGTACAACATAGTGATTGGACAACTCTGTATATTGTGCTATGCTCACCACAAGTGTAGCTACCATCCGTATACACTTAAAGCACTTCATAGGTAGTGCCAAAGAGTTTTCAAAAAATAGCTGTATCAGTTTACATATCTGCCAGCAGTATATAAGTTGTTCTACATCTTTTTAAAAAAATTTTTTATTTAAATTCAATTTAGTTAAAATATAGTGTATTGTTAATTTCAGGGATAGAATTTAATGATTCATCAGTTGCATATAACACCCAGTGCTCATCACATCACGTGCCCTCCTTAATGCCCATCCCCCAATTACCTCATCCCCCCACCCACTCCCCTCCAGCAACCGTCAGTTTGTTTCCTAGAGTTAAGAGTGTCTTACGGTTTGCCTCCCTCTGTGTTTTCATCTTACTTTATTTTTCCTTCCCTTCCCTTATGTTCATGTGTTTTGTTCTTAAATTCCACATATGAGTGAAATCATATGGTATTTGTCTTTCTCTGATTGACTTATTTCGCTTAGCATAATACCCTCTAGTTCCATCCACGTCATTGCAGATGGCAAGATTTCATTCTTCCTGATGGCTGAGTAATATTCCACTGTATATATGGACCACATCTTCTTTATCCATTCATCTGTTGATGGACATCTGGGCTCTTTCCATATTGGAAAGATGGACATTGCTGCTATAAACATTGGGATGCAGGTGCCCCTTCGAATCACTATTTTTGTATCCTTTGGATAAATACCTAGTAGTGAAATTGCTGGGTCGTAGGGTAGCTCTATTCTTAACATCTTGAGGAACCTCCATACAGTTTTCCAGAGTGGCTGCACCAGCTTGCATTCCCACCAACAGTGTGAGAGGGTTTCCCCTTTCTCCGCATCCTCACCAACATCTGTTGTTTCCTGAGTTATTCATTTTAGCCATTCTAAGTTGTTCTACATCTTAACTATTTTCTGTTTTTCTCTATTCTGATGGGTTTATAGTGGTGTCTTATTATTGTGGGTTTAGTTTGCATTTCCCTGGTAAATAATGATGCTGAGAATCTTTCATCAGTTTATGAGCCTCTTGGGAATTCTTTTGTTAAATGCCTGTCTAGGGCTCTTGTCCATTAAAGTTTTTTATTAATGGGTAGAATTTCTTTCTATAAAACATGAGTAATTTGCAAATATCTTCTTCCACTTTCTGCCTTAGTTGTTCATTCCATTAAATCTGTCCTTTGATCCACAGACATTCTTAAGTTTAATGTAGTCCAGTTTATCACTGTTTTCCTTAATTGTGCTTTCTGGGTTCTGTTTGGTAAATCTTTGCTCCTCTGCCTCTAAGGCAGAATAAATGCTTCTGTGTTTTCTTCTAGAAGTTTTATTGTTTTATCTTTCATATTTGGATCTTGACACAACTACCTGGGAATACCCAAGTCACGTCTATGTCCCAAGCAATGACCTTAGCACTGCCTATCACTCCGTTTTCAATGCCACGTTGCCAGGTGGCTGGAGCATCTTGTGAGCCACCTTACAGCAGCTGCAGCAGTGGGCAGCTTATGAAACTGGGGGCCGTGCAGACCTGCCCCAGATAATTAAAATTAAAATATGGGACTCTCTGACATCAGTGCCACCGAGAAGGAATAACAGGCTGCTTGAGTGGAGGGGAGGTTAACTCTGATGGGTGCGTGTGGTGATGGAGGAGACTTAAGCAGTTTTAACAGCAAAGTGTGACAGAGGAATTGGACCTCACAGAGCATCCTGGTGGGTGACTCAAGGTTCCTGTCCTATGTGACTGGTGGCAGGGCCCCTGCTCTTGGAAGCTCCCTTGCCACTTGCCTTTTGTACCACTGCCCTTCCATGGCTCCCAAATATTCTTCTGGCTTCACTGTTTCTCAAAGGTCATAAAAGAAACTTGTAGTGGAAGACGTCTAAATGAGAGTGTGGGTTCCATCCTATCTCATGTATGTTCTGTGAAAGCTGTTATGTAGGCACTGCATTCCTTTCTACTTGGAGAAGATCTAATCATCTTCTTTGAGAGGATCAAACACCTCTTGAGGAAGGTCCAGGTTCGTTGGTTGGCCAGTCTTCTCTTGACGTAAGAAAGCATTCATAATCCACTTTTTCAATTTTATATCCCTTCAGAAGATAACAGTTCTCTCACATTCTGGATAATTTTATAATTAAAAATTAATTCATTGCCCTCAAGACCTAATGTCCACGTTGTTAACTTTGAATTTCAGATGAATTTAATAGAACCTCTCTTTGAATGTATGAAGCATTTAGTTGCTGCTAAATGCTAAATAGATTTTGTCCTTAGGCTGAGTATACCTGAGTGTATTTGTTTTCCATTATTGATTTTATGGGCTTACAATTCACCTATTTAGGATTAATGACATGAGAATGTTATCACTTTGGAAATTTTAGTAACCATATTAGTATTCATCACCTAAATAATTTACTCTTTCCCTGGATCCCAGAACATTTATTGAGGGTTGGCATCTCTTGTTCACAGAAGCTAAAGTATGCTCTGACTTTTTTGCTGTCACTGCTTACTCTGTTTTTGCTTTCAGGACTTTGGCCCAATATCCTGAGGTATCAACAAAGTGTGATGTCATTCATCCATTCTTGGTTATTCAATAATACCAGTGGCATTGTAAGCATGATGTATGACTTCATGGAAAGAAGTATTTTGACTTCATTTTACTCTTTTTCTTTCATAGCAATTCCCAAAAGACACAATCAATGAAGAAGTGATAGAATTTTTGAATCCTTACTTTGAAATGACAGACTACAACATTGAAACTGCTAAACGCGTATGTGGGAACGTAGCTGGCCTTTGTTCCTGGACCAAAGCCATGGCTTCCTTCTTTTCTATCAACAGAGAAGTGTTGCCTCTGAAGGTGAGCCTCCTAGGTAAAACCACATGATACGTGCCTGTTATACCCCTTGAGGTCACCTGGCCTTATCTTTTCAGATAGCACAGGAACCTTTGGCCTCTGGTGTGGTTGTATTCAAGTCCATGGGGAGAGCAAGTGACAGAAAGGCCGAGCACAGGATGTTTCTCTTCTCTGTAATAACCACTCCAGTCAGAGTTGTGCAAGCCTTTAAGCATGGACTCTCTGGGATGCCAAGTCCACTGTGGGCTGTTGGGTATTTTTCCTCCACAGCATCAAAGAAACACAGAAAACTATAGCATAGAATCCCTTGATAATGTCCAAGATCTCCTGCCAAGGAATCTTATGTCCGAGGCAGGATAAGTACACAGTTGGTGGCTGGTCTTGGTTGTAAGGTATGACATAGTACTCCCGCTCTTCTCCTTTGTCCCTCAGGAAAGAAAATGAATGTCATCTGTTCTTTAATGTAATTGGAGAGTATGCCTGTTTCCCTTTGATTAATTGCTTTTCTAGGCTTCAGATGCACATACCCATCCCCATCAGTGACAGTCTTCAGCAGATGGGGAGACAAATACATGCTTTGAAAATGGAATACCAATGTCTCAAAAATCGCATGTGTGGCCTGGTTGATTATTTTGCTTTTGTATGAGTCTGATCTCTCTCAACCATCAACTGAAATCCACTTATGCTTATAAACTACCCGAGGAACTTAATAATCATGATAAAAATAATCGAGAGTGGAAAGAAGATAGGGAATCAAGTTGCAAGTCCCATTTTATTTTCTAACTGTTACCATACCAGGGTCATTTATTCAGTGGCTGAAGCCCGTTGGGGTCTTAAAGCAACTTAAAAGAACAAAGACTCATTTGGTTTAGGGAATTTTAGAGCAAATGATTGATGCCATGCTGTCGATGTTATGAATTTTGGGACCATTGAAGACTTCCAGCATAGCTCCAAAATGGGCATTCTGATACTGGCTGAATTATAACCACCTTATCAAATGAAAAATACAGGGCATCCTTTGCAAATTTTTCCAGTGAGTAAGCATACAGTGTTTTTAAGGGAATGGCAGTTGAATTCATGTTGCTTTTATTTTGTTGTAATTATTTTAAATAAAATGAGCTGCTATCAGTACCAAATAATGGCCATTCTGAACAAGGCTTACATGAGAACAAGGAAATCCCTTGCCCTGTTCCAGGACATTTTAGCCTCCACCTAGTCTTATGACAATCTAGATGCTGTGGTAGGAAGTGAAGGGAACACTGTCAGAAGGGGGAATGTTTTACTTGTGCCTAGAACCTCTGCTTTTCTTTCTGGGAAGTCAGTCTTGGAAGTGGCCTCCTAAGGTCTTATGAGCACCCAGCTCCTGGGAGCCTGACGTGCGTCAGGGCTGTGTCAGGGCCTTCTGAATGTTCTGTCATGAAAATAAGTGCCGTTAGAGAGAGCCTACACAGTCACTGCTTAAGGAGAAGGCAACGATGGCGAGAGTGCAGGTTATCACTGGGCAACTCTGCTCATGTGTGAAGCATCACTGACTGAGGCCTATAATTTCACGTGTTCCTGGGGGGGCTTCCCTGGCAAGCTCCTGCCTCTGAGTGAGGACAGATTAAGGACACTCTTTACACTCCAGCTGGAACCTCCTCAACACTGAGCAGTGACGAGGACCCTGAGGGGCTCTTCTCCTTCGTCTGGCAATCCCTCTCAAGGGGCCAAGTGATGTCTAGTAGTGAATAAACTTAAATACCAACTAATGCCAATTTAGACTCCATTCACGTTAATTATAATGCGATTTCTCCTTGAAAACCATGAAAACCAGTAAATATCAGTCCACATAAACAGAACGTTTATAACAGTAGAGTCTTAAATACTAAACTCAGACAACAACATCTATTATTTATTGGATTCTTGTTGTATGCCAGGCACCAGCCGTGGGTGTTTACGTATGTTATCTTATTTAATCCTCTCGCACACACACATCCTAGGAGGTAGATTTTCAACATCTTCATGGATAAACTGAAACTTCCAGAGTGTAAGTGGTCTGCATGGAGTCCCACAGCTCCTGAGGTGAGCCGCTGGACTTGAAGGATTCTGTGCCTTTTGGTTGGCAACTTTCAAGTGCTTCATTAAAAATGTTTTCAATTTATTTTTTATGAGTAAAATTCTAAAAAATACCCCAAATCTCTGGGGCTTTGACATTAGTGTGTTGCTTTAGTGAGTTGTTGGGCATTGTTACCTTGTTTTTCTCTTATGTTTAAGCCACAGTGATAGGTGCAGTTTACAGCAGACCTGAGAAGATAATGTCCCAAGAGTTAGATCCTTTGTAAAGTGTAGCTGTTAAGCCACACTTTTGCCTGTCATTGGTCCTAGTAACTTAAGGAACTTTGACTTTCCCTTAAAGAATTATTCTGCCAAAATTTGGGAGCCTGAGGTTGTCAGACAGGAAAATAATTTATTTCAGAAAAATTTTTTCAAGATAATCTTTTCTTCTGAAAAACTCCAGAGAGAGTGTGGCCCTAATAGTGGATTATCCCCATTAAAGTCAATTTTAACATTTTAGAGACTTAAAAAGGAAAAACTTGATTCCAAAAAATTGTTTAAAGCATCTAAATTCCTGTAAGCATGGACTGTTTTCTACATCTCGTCTTTTGCTAATATTGCTTTTGAATATGTCTTTTGAGTCAAATTTAGTAGCTTCCTTAAAAACAATATTTTTAATTAGTCACAGCTCAAGGTATCACTTCTTTTATGGGAGGAAAACAATATATGAAGACTACAAGAACAACATCAAGATCACCATGACTCACAAAATCTCTATTTTACATTCAGTGAATAATTAGGTTCCATTTTTTATCTTGTTTTAACATCCTTATCAATAGTGATGAGTCTTACCAGGCAGAAGGTTCTCAATATTCAGTTTTTTCTTCTTCTACAATAATATTACAATGTTCTGTAATGTACCTATGCATTTAATACTGCAATGCTCTGATCTAAGGACCGGCAAACTCCGGCCCACAGGCCAAATCTAGCTCACAACCTCTATGTGTACAGCTTGTGAAATAAGAAGAGTTTTTACATTTTTTAAATGGTTTTTAATTAAGTGCAGAACAATAGCCTTGATTTTGCCCCTTGGCCCAAAACATCTAAACTCTTTATTATCTGGCACTTATGGAAAAAACGTGCTGACTTTGAATGAATTATAATTTTCTGCTTATAAACATTTATATCAAGTCCACACTAAGATTTGGTCCTGACTTAATGCAACTTGAAAAGACTCTAGGGGTAGAGCAGAGAACAGGTATGAGCATTGCTGAGATCTCAGATGAGATGCTGGCTGTTTGGTTGGCTGTGCATCATTCATCATTTGCCTTGGGTATGTCCTTTGCAGGCCAACTTGGTGGTACAGGAGAATCGTTACATCTTGGCCATGCAGGATCTGCAGAAGGCCCAGGCTGAGCTGGATGACAAGCAAGCAGAGCTCGACGTGGTGCAGGCTGAGTATGAACAGGCCATGACCGAAAAGCAGGTAACTCCTCAGCATGGGAAGGCCCGTCATATACCAACATGGCTATTGTAAACCCTTCCTTTGCTCCTTTCTCTCTCCAAGGGTTTGGTTCCCAACAGGGATGGATTTAATGTATATATAGTACATAAACCACACATCATCCCTCACTAAGCCCTGGAGTTTGTTTCTAACACCAAGGACGTTGGTGAGAGGTCAGGATGGTCAGCCAAGATAGAAGTCAGGTCTGGAACGTAAACATCCTGAGTCTCCTTATGGATGGTGATGAAAACAGCCCCTGTGGAACACTTTCTGTTATGTTTTTCAAATCACGTCTTCCCACTTTATCTCATTTTAATCTTTGAAATAATCTTGCAAGATAAGCAAGGTGGATATTTTTTGTTGTCATTTTGGAGAAAGGAGCTGAGGTCCAGAGGACGGCTCCTGGTCATAGGGCTGGATAGTCTGAACTAGACCTTGGCCTTCTGGTGTCCACTTCAGGCCTCTCTGCTGGACCAGTGTGACTTGCCACGTGGTTGCATCTGATGACAATGACCATCTATGGTCTTCTCAACCTAGTCTGTAAGCTAGCAGCTGTAGAACCTTTCAGAATCTGGGTTCATACTTTTCTGATCCACTGGGCAGTAAGTTCTTTATCTTATTTATACTAATTCCAGCTCCACGGGGGCTTCTTTGCTTCTGGAAATTTGGGCAGCTTTAACACACACCTAATGTAGCTTAAGTTTCAGAACTCCTCATGTGCACAGGCTCCTAGGTGCTGGGGTTCCTGGGGGTCGTAGGGTGTTTTAGGGGGAGGGAACCCAGGTTATGATTGGCAAGTATTTGCATATAAGCGTTCAGATAAAATACCTAGAAATTTCAGAGGAAAGGTACCTGAGTTTCTAAGACACCAAGACTTTGTAGTGTTTTTTTCCCCCTCTCAATCTAAATACATATTCACTTGGGTGTTTTGTATTTGTGAATCTCTAATGATTTTCTTGAAGTGGACCCCACCCCACAGATTATGTAAGCTTCTGGCCCCACAAAGTCTGTATCTGCCTCTGGTAAATCCTGTGTTTGACTAATAAGAGACAGATTCACTCTGTTCTTCCCTTGATGATTTTACGGAGTTTCCTCCTGCCTGTTCTCAGTCTTCACTGGTCAGGATTGAGATTCCTGCTCTGATAGTCCTGTCTCTTATGGGAGTCCCAACAAGGGAACTTAGATGAACACTTCAGTTTTACTATGTGCAGAATGTGTGATACTTCCACTCCTGAAAGCAAAAGGAGAGCCTTTTAGAAATTTTAGAGAAGTAATTGTACAACACCTATTTGGGTTTGTTAATTATGCTCTTTGGGATTCACTTATCATCATATAAAGAGAAAATTAGCACTGCAATTCGAAAGAGTCTACTTTAGAAACTGTGGGGAAGGTGTGATCATTAGTTACACGGTGGACACTCACTTCTATTTGGAGGCGCTACTGAATACACTAGAAATATTTTAGGCCCCATGTTGTTATGTTTCAGTTGTAACATTTTTGAATTAGTTCATTCAGTATTATTTTTGGTTTTGAGATCTCCTGCTTATGGGGACCATACAAGAAGTGCTACTGTAAAGGTATGGCTCTGACTTTAAAACTTGTTTCAACAAATATCAAGGTTTTTTAATTAAAAAACACAAAATCTGGCTGTGAGTCCACTGCCTCCCACATGCTGGAGTGAACCTGACCTTTAGTCATCCTGTGGCTCCTTCCCCCTCCATGAGCTCCGTGCGAGTCCTGGGGGCTTATGGACTTATGGAAGGTGGGGAGGGGCAGGACCTTGAATCCACAGTTCATCATGGTCGGACCCATAACCTCCTGCCCCAGGTCTGTGCTGTCTGCTGAGGGAGAGTGTGCCCTGCTCCTTTCTGCACAGAGCAGTGCCTTTGTGGGGCCCACTTCCCTAGGCCTTCTGGACGGCTAGTTACCCTCTGGGAGCACCCACAGAGGGTGGGCCGGGGCCCTGCCCAAGGAACCCAGGGAAGTCCGCTCACTGCCCCAGCCAGGCTCAGAGGAAAGAGCTGCTTCTGGCTCCTGTACTCTCTTACGTCTGCTCCTCTCCCCTTCTCGCTATTTCCATCCCCTAAAGGAGCATGGGCTCCCAGGAAAAAAAAGCCAGAGGGGGGCCCCTGGCCATTTCCTTATTTGGCCAATTGGGAGTGGGGATGGGGAATTTTGGGAAGACAACTTAATCTTAAAAATATCTTTTACATGAAAAGTTTGTTTCAGAGGTAGGCAGACATAAATGATTTGTAGGATCACACTTCCCAGTTGGCATCTTTCTTCTTGGGGAGAAACAAACAAACAAATAAATATGGGCGATATAGATGTGGTACACCTCAGCTGGGCTTTTAGGTTTCCTACATTAACTCTGCGGGGAAAGGAAAATAGAGTAGAATAGAGTCCCAGAGAAAAAACTAGAATAAATATCTTGCTTTTGAAAAACACTGTATTATGTTATTATTACAAAAGCAACTCATGTTCCTTATGGAAGATACACATAGAGAATCCTGGAAATGAACACTAAAAATATTTGCTCTTTTTCATTTCCTATCTGAACATATTCCTTGATTTACATATATTTAAAAAATATATGTAAAATATAACATTTGAATATATAACATAATTCAATACATACTGTTTATAAATTGAATTTTTAACTTAGTAATATATCATGAATATTTTCTTGGTTATAAAAATTTTTATAAGATAATTTTTAATGGCTTCAGAGTAGTCTTATTCATGGGTATACCATAATTCATTTAAATATTTCTCTAGTATTAGACATTTAGCATATATAACAATTATATATTATGTGTAACATACACATGTTATAAGTGAACTTCCAATGACTGGTCTTGTAGCTAAATCTTTATCTGTCCCCACTATTATTTCATACACATATGTTTTTACAAGTAGAATTGGCAGTTGCCTTAAGGAGAAAGAGGAGTGTTGAGTGGCGTGTGGAAGTCTGGTTCAAGGTCTTTTAGTGATACCCAGAGCACCAGAGAGGGACCTGCTGAGTCAGGTGTCACTGGGAAGTGTGAGTGAGCCTCAGAACAGCACAATCTGAAGATAATCTAAAGTTTCACCTCAAGTCAAAGAAGATGTGCACTTAGATCAAGCAGTAATGATGCTAGAACTTTAACAGGAAAAATATTCCTGAGTTTCAAGTAGGGATATGTATTGTTTTACCTTTTTTGTGCTATATATTAGTAAGTAGGCTTGTATTTTATCTCTATTTTTCTTCATAGGGAAGTCATGAATGAAGCAAATTTCTATTATCTCTTAGTTATCAACACCTGGGGAGACTCTGACCCATGGGCTCAGGACCCCACGTGAAGGTTTAAGAGCTGGGTTTTGGCTAACACAGGCACACAGGAATTGAATCTTATGGTTCCTATGGGATAAGTGGCTCACAGGTCTTAGAAGGGCAGATAATATATAATGGTTTAAAATTATATTCTTGAGCCAGAGGCTGTATTTTTCTGAACAAAAGTTTTCTTCTGATTCTGGCCTTTTTTTAGACCTTGCTTGAAGATGCGGAGCGCTGCAGACGAAAGATGCAGACTGCCTCCACTCTGATCGGTGGCTTGGTGGGAGAAAAAGAAAGATGGACAGAACAAAGTAAAGAGTTTGCTGCACAAACAAAAAGACTTGTAGGTATGTAAATTCCTGTATTAATCAGATTATGTGTTGACTCCATTAGGGAGTTAGCAAACTGAAACTTTTATCAGAATACAAACCAACCCTCTAGTACTTCAAATTCCTGTGTGTGTGTGTGTGTGTGTCCAGATATTTCAGAAGGATGAATATTGGTCTGGCATCTATTCAGCCGTTATTCGATGTATTAATGATCTTCAAACCTCTTATCAGGTCACTTTGAATTCTCCTATGAGCTAATGGTTGTATTGATTCAGATCACTTGGAATGGAGGCTCTGTCTTCTCAGGTTTTGTATCTCTTAAGCTCCAAAATCATACTCTCACATCCAACAAGCGTCAAAATAACCTAGCTGATGACTAACAGGTATTACTTGGTGGACCATTTGGACCCTGTTTAACAATGATCTACTGCTTATTCACCAAGACACAGCAATGTGGTTACAGTTTGGTTTCTGGAAGTTAGTTTAAGAGTGGTTGCCTTTAAAAAATGTTTAGTATTCTGCACGATTACAAGGCTGATTATAAAGTATTTCAGTGATGTTTTGTTTTCTGTTTTAGGGGATGTATTGTTGGCTACAGCTTTTCTATCTTATTCTGGTCCATTTAACCAAGAGTTTCGCAATCTGCTGCTGTATGACTGGCAGAAGGAAATGAAAGCCCGGGAAATCCCATTTGGAGACAGTCTAAATCTCAATGAGATGTTGATTGATGCTCCCACTATTAGTGAATGGAACCTCCAAGGTCTGCCAAATGATGACCTATCTATTCAGAATGGAATTATTGTCACAAAGGCATCTCGCTATCCTTTGTTAATTGATCCACAAATTCAAGGGAAGATCTGGATTAAAAATAAAGAAAGCCAGAATGAACTCCAGGTAATTTGTGTTTGAGTATATTTATGTTACTGTGAAGTTTTATTGCCCCAGATGAACAAGAGTCCGAGAGTCAGGAAATACTTGAAAATAGTAGAGACTGTAATCCTAGATAGAGCAGTAACAGATGCAAGCCTAAAGTCTAATATTAAAATCTTTTCTAAAAATTACATTTACATTTGTATGGATCTCTACTAATGCCATCTTTCGAAGGTTTCAGATTCTCCTCTGTTAGAGCCTAAATCCCTCTTTGATGAACAGAGCAGGGTGGAGTTTATCACACTAAGTGTGTAGCCCTCTACCAGGACACTTCATGGTTATTCCATTATTATTTGTCACGAAAGTGGTGGTGATGAGGAGAAGACAGGTTGCACTGGGGAATGACAGTTTGCTAAGGAAAAGGATGGAAACATTTTAAGCTTTCTGTACAGTCTCACCAAGTATGAGTTCCAGATAAGATTCACTAAAAATCTCTGTATTTGTGTCCCGTGACAGAATGCTCAGGCACCCTTTAATGTCCATTCTCTCTGTGTATGGCATTGTGATATTGTCAATAGCAACCTTTGGATCTTGTTTCTAGATCACATCTCTAAATCACAAGTACTTCAGAAACCATCTGGAGGACAGTCTTTCTCTTGGAAGGCCCTTGCTTATTGAAGATGTTGGGGAGGAACTAGATCCAGCACTGGATAATGTTTTGGAGAGGAACCTCATTAAGACTGGGTCTATCTTTAAGGTAGGTTAAACCTATTGATAATTACATGACGAACCATTATCACGAGGCCAGGTAAATGTGACATAGATAAAATTTTCTCAATAGGCAACAACTGAAATTTGAGTCAGCGGCAAGAGGCATTTGTTTTTTCTCTTCTACACTTCCTGAGTTGGAATTAAAATTTTCAAGAGCAGTCCTTTTAGAAATATCTACTTCTTTTGTGTGATAGAGTCTGACTCCATTTTGATGGGTTACTGTAGACATCTTTCAAAACCCATTATGACCCTCACCCCTTCTGTCCCAAATCTGGGCAAGCTGATAAGAAAACCTGGGGCTCTCGCCTTTGACATTGGTGGGAAAATCAAACCATGCAATCCTCTGTTCATGCCCTATGTGGGAACCTTTATCCCAGCCCTACCCCCTAATCACCATAAAACCCTAAAAGAGCTGCTTTTCCCTACTCTCTCAATCAATTTTTGGGACCTGGTTGGGGGTCTACTTTAATCTCCCCAGAAATCTAATTATGTGAGCAATAAACCTTTCATACACTTTTGATGCTTATGTGATGTCATCAGTCTTCACCTCTGAACCAAATTTTGGATGGGTAATCCATCTCACCTCTGTGGTATGATCACACCAATTTTGGTGCTAAATTCTACATTTATGGTATATACTGGCATACATTGAACTTCTTCCCTCCCTCTCTCCCTCCCTTCCTTCCTTCCTACCCACCTTCCTTCCTTTCATCCTAGTGGTCTGAAGCCCTCTGAATGCCTAATGACCACTTCTTTTTCAGTATACAAAGATCTCCAGTTATACAATTCTTTAAAGCAATGCTTGATCCTGTTGAGAAAAGGACACAGTAAGGTATATGTCTCTTTTATTACTTTTGACTTTATTTTTATAATAAAGGTGAAAGTTGGTGATAAGGAAGTAGATGTGATGGATGGCTTCAGACTCTACATCACCACCAAACTGCCCAATCCAGCCTACACCCCTGAAATAAGCGCTCGGACCTCTATCATTGACTTCACTGTCACCATGAAAGGTCTGGAAGATCAGTTACTAGGGAGAGTCATCTGCACAGAGAAGCAGGTGAGTGATGTGTGACCACCTCTTTTTTGGCATTATGTTGTGATTCTTTCATTGATGAAAATAATATGATAAAAGTTGTAATAGGATTGGGGCCCCCCCTTTTATTCCTGTGTTTTTTTTCCATTATTAATTCCCAGGTGTCATGGGTAATTACTAACTGATTACCCTCTATGTTTCATCTGTCTCATAAATCACATATACCCATTGATTTTGTGTAGACTAATGATGTATCTATGAGAATATCAGTCTCATGCTCAGCATCATTATTCTGGTCTTATATTGCTTCATTTTTCTGAAGAGTTTGCATGATCATGAGTTCTGTTCATCTGTTGACTTTTAGGTTTCTAGGCTACAGCTAGGTTTTTCTTCCATTCAATTCATTATTATGCTTTTGGAATATAAAATTAAAACTCGTGGCTTCAAACCACTGTGATTAAAACCAGCTAACAGACAACATTCTCAGTCCTTAATGTTGCCTATGAGAAACCTCTATGTATGTTGTGACAAGACAGATATTTGTGGATCTGGAGCTTCAGGGAGCACCTTCTGGAGGCTGCTGGCTTAGTTATGTATCTGTTTTCTCTACTTCTATTTGGTGGAATAACTTAATGATCAATAAAAAATAGCCAGTAATTTATAAACCTCCTTGTTTTGAGTCAGCATTTTGTCTAGGGAATATGTGAGTCTTAAAGAAGTCTAGAGGATTTTAATAGGACTGCTTTGGTAGAACTGCATGAACTCTAAGAGTTGCTATTGATTTTCTCTTGGGTTCAGTAGCAATGAGGAGTCTAGTTTATTTTATAGCCCCCTTTTACACTGACCTCAAGATTTATTTAGGTTAAAACTATTGGAAAAATCTTTGGAATCTGTCCTTCCCATTATTTTGATTATTATTATTATTTTTTGTATGTTTCATGCTTGGTCTTCTGAGTCCTTCCATATGTTTATCTCTCGCTTCTTTGCTGCCTCTTCCCCTCTCTCATTTCCTTTTTTATGAATATTCTCTTTTTATTTTTTAGTTTATAGTGCATGAATCATAGAGTCGTATGGTTGGAAGTTGCACTAAAAGCATTAAATCTGACTTTGTAGATTCATGTAGTTAGTGACCTCAGAATGGCAGGAACTGAGGCCAGAGTTTCTACCACAGACTAGCTACTGAAGTAATAACAGCCTTTAGAATACGTGCTTGTTTATTTTTGGAGTCTGAGTCAAGCTAGTTGAGGAAGCCTAGCACTGCCATATCCTTACTTCAGGAAGGACTGCGATTCTTGATCCACAGCATGCAGTGTCGGGCAGGGAATCCCTGAGAGTCTTTGGGGCAGCGGCCATTACCCGTACGTTAGGCTCTGCTTTCACCTGTGGCATTGGCTTTGGGGAGGTAAGGGGTCCTGATGGCAGTTTGAAAAATATCCTTGTCTTTGGTTTTCTCACCTTCAGCTGAGATGAATATCGTTTCCTTGGAAGAAATAATTTGGTCTGACAGATTTTGTTTGCAACAAAACAGCTCCAGCCCTGGAGTCATAATTTTTAGAAGTTTAAGATGAAGCGAGGAGCACTTTAAGCTCCTTTGAAAAGACATTGAACAGCCTTGAGAAGCCAATATGGATCCCAGGCTGGGCTTTTTCTTACCCCCTGGAGAAGTACCTTGAGTGTCTTGAGAAAATTATTCCTTAACTGTTGTCTCATGATCGGAATCCATTCCAGGCTCACAGTAGATAATTCTTAGGAAAAGTATGGCCATAAGAACGGGACCCTCACTCTCTTATAATATTAGAGGGTCCTCTTACCCTGAACCACATGATTATACAACATGTAACCTGTATTTTTCTCCTCTAACGCAAGTAGTGAGCTGTTGGACTTAATTTTGAAGGCTTTTCAGAATATATTTCCTGCAAGCAGCCTTTTCTTTTGTAGCATCTTGTCTTCCCACCACACCCCTGAATTCGCTCATGTTGCTGAATCATCTCAGCCTGGGTGGTGGCAGGTGGGTTTGAGTTGATCTCTGGGGCTTTCTGGAAATTGAGTAACTCATTTGAATAGAGCCTACAGATTCAAAAAGTGTTCCTTTGACTTCTGTGACAATGCCATCTTTCTGACTATGATCTCTTCTTAGGTGAGTATTATGAATACTCCACCAATATAAAATGCTATTGAGCCAAGGGTGGGTATTGGAAGCAGGGAAGACCCCAGCAGTGAGAAGCTAGTATTGGAAAGCCTCTAAGGAATTCCCTTACACATCGAGCTGAAACAAAGGGTGGGTTCTCCTACAGTCAGGATGAATTCAACCTTTACTGCTCTGTCGATTCTTCTTGTGAAAGGTGGCTCAGGAAAGGCCATTCTTCTTTGAATCCATAAATTCACCAGCTGTCCAGTGTCTTGGAGATACTGGCAGTGAGGACCCTTGTTATCACATGGGATCCGGTCTCGTCAATGCTTGGCTGTACAGCCTGCTGGCCCCTCAGGTTTGTTTGCTTTCAGAGGCAAATGCAAACCCCAGAGCATGGGAATGCAGGGAAGGCAGATTTATGATTTTATATATATATAAATATAAGATATATTTATATATATCTTCTCTGTGCTCCAAAGCAGTCATTTTAAATGTGTGAGCTGTTCAAGGTTATATCAAGGCCATATTCAGTTGTCGACCTGATATACCTGTGAGTAGATGTACGCAGCCTGCTGTTGTCACCAGAAGGCAAGGTATCAAGACCATTTTAAAAAGGCAGCAAACCAGTAGTTCTTCAGCAACTATCCTTTAAAAAAGAACAAAACAAATTTCTTTGGTTCACTCTTACCTTGATCTTAGAGAACAAGACAGAAACTCAAAGACAGCTATATACTATTAGGAGAAAAACACTAATCTAGAATAACAGCTTCTATTGGCCACACAACACAAAGCCTCAGGGGTCAGCTTGTTCAGAATCCCAGAGGAGCAAACAGGTGTGTGATTTCCTTTGGAGGTGTAAGCACCCAAACTCGGTGGAACCAACAGGAAAAATAATTTAATGAAGACCCTTAAGCAGATGTTGTTATCACCAGCTCACTGGTACAGAGAAAAAATAAATCTAAATTCTATTGTTTAATCTTTCTATTTTAATTACCAGTGTAAGGTGCAGGAGAGAAGGAACCTTTGGGAATGAGAGCCTGGGTGATCCCTTAGAACTGAGAACTCTGAAAAGCTCATCTGTTTCTTTTTACTGATTTCAAAACCATAGTTACAGATGCAGTTTAGGTACACACATAGTTTTGGTTGTCATTTGCATCTTTGTTGCGCCACTTAATTTTTGATCACTTAATTAATAAATAATATGTTTCCTGAAATTGTCCTGCATTACCACTGTACTTGTTTACTCACTTTGGGGATACTTTTCATATTTTCACAGTTTATATAAAGAATTTACATGGCAGCCTTAGTAAATAGAATACATAACACAAATGTTTACCTGTGTGTGTGTGTGTGTGTGTGTGTGTGTGTGTTGAGATAACCCCTTTGATGGGAAAATGCTTATAGACAAAATGATTTTGATTAATTTTGCTCCTTATTATCAATTTCAAAAAGAACTATCTTCTTATAGATTGGAGGACCTAGAGTCATAGTTCAACAGAACCATGTTTAAATCAGCCATACAAATGAGCATACACCTAAAACCTTATCCCAAAATAGGTTTTTCTGTTTTAAAATCCTGAATGAGAAGCAAGTAGCAGGGTGCTTGTGTGGCTCAGTTGGCTAAGTGTCTGTGTCTGCCTTCCATTCAGGTCATGATCCCAGGATGCTGGGATCAAGCCCCACGTGGAGCTCCCTGCTCAGTGGGGAGTCAGCTTCTCCCTCTGCTCTTCCCCTCTGCTTGTGCTCCCTCTCTCACAAGTAAATAAATAAAATCTTAAAAAAAAAAAAAAAAGCAAATAGCAGTTCTGTTTTCCTTCAGAGATAACTTTCTTTTTTCCATAACTCTTGTCCCATTGTAGTGTTTGGTCATTTACCTGCTATTTAGTACACAGATTGCTTTCATAATTCCAAATTGCTTTAAATTGTACTGTTTACTTTAGGGGATATTATTTTATCAGTTTCAAACTTTGGGGGAAATGTACTTCCTAGCCTCATTTTAATCCTTTAGGAATATAGGCAGTTACTTTAATTGGCAAATTTATTGGTGTTAACAATGATATTGAATTGACTACAACCATCTCAATAATGTTCAAGCTTTTACTTGCTATTTTTAAAATCAGGAATTGGATAATTTGCCTCTTTTTATACATTATATTAAATGTTTATTTTGTGAGTAACAGTTTTTGTAAGTAACACGGGGGTGTGATTTTAGTACTGATTCTATGGTTTTCAAGGGGAGATGAGATTGGAAATGTAGGTTGTAATAAGTCTTGTAAACTGTTGAGAATTTTGGAGCTTTCAAAACAGCTGAGGGAGATCCCTGAATACCTAGGAGCAGGAAAGGGGGTGATAACAGAGAAGAGGGTCAGTGGGGAGACCTGTTATGGTTAGAGTAGTCCGTGAGGAATAACTAAAGCCTAAGCCAGGGCTGTGGCTATGAATTTGGAAGACATGGATGGAGGGAAAACTATGGTGCTGGAAGAATCTGTAAGACTTGGTGCAGTTTTTGGATTTGACAGCCCATGCTCTCGTCCCAGCAGACATGAGAGCATGCATCCTTAGCCTAAGTGCAAGATTAGAAAGTTCTCTTTTATCCCATTTCAGCCACTTTATTAGGCTTTTGTAATGATATGTGAAATTCTAAAGTATGGTTTATTTTATGTCAACCTATAATTTTATTTTTCAAACTGCTTATTTTCCCAATAGGTATTATAATGCTTCTAAAAAATTCATGCTTAGAATGAATCAAAGAAGGGGAGAAAAGGGGGAGAGACATATTTGGAACAGTTATCATGATCCAGTTACTGTTGTAACTGCTTTACTAGTTATATCCTGACAATCACTCTCTGAGCTGTTTCTATATCCATCTCACAGATAAGGAAACTGAGGCTCCTAGAGTTATATAACATGACCAACATCATGCAGCTGATAGATCCTAGGGGCTGTGATTCAAGCACATGTCTTCCTGATGTCAAAACCATCATTTGCCCCATGGCTTTATGATCCTTCCCTTACCTGTCTTCTTCAGGTGAGGATTTTTAGACCACTCACCTTTAGGAACTCAGGCACGATAGTGATAGTGTGTGAAATATGGGCATATGGCAATAAAAAATATCTGAATTTTTCCTTTGAACATGATTACTTTATTTCTTAGTGTAACCGTAGTGTAAGTTCTTTTTTTTTTTTTTATAGCTGCTTATGGAGAGGAATTTTGCAGGTGTCTTAAATGTTACTTTCTGTACTAATTTTTTTTTTACATTTTCTCAAATTTGAGATTCTTATCTAGTGAGTAAATGAATGAAAATAACCACGAAGGAAGCTTTTCAAAGACCCAATACAAAGAAGCAAACGTTTTGATAAAGGCAGGTTTTGCTGAAGTTGCTTTGTCACCAAGAATTAAGCAAGTTCTGAGATTTTGCTCAGAGCCTGGTAGGGTTCTACCCATCATAACTGTTGAGTCAATGGTGATTAACTGGCTAGAATATAAAGCAGTGGCCAGTGGCCTTTATTCTTTGTATTCATGCAGTTTTGTTACTACCACCTTTATTTTAGATCTGTGGTTTTCAGTTACAGGGTAAGAATTTTCTCCCAGCCTCTGGGCTTTGTGCTGTCTTTGGCTTGCTCTGTGTGATGGCCATGCCCTCCTTCCCCACACTTTCCAGTCCCATCTTTTTTTCCTTCTGTCCCATGGACTCCCCTCTCCAAACCACCATGAGGAAGAAGTAGCCAATCAGGACAATAACCTTCCAAAACCATTCTCTCCCCAGCCATCTATAAAGATCCTTCAGGAAAGATCTAGAACTTCCCTTCTCTTGGAGAGAATAGCACCTTTTCAGGCCAAGAACAGTTTCCAGTTTAAAGGTACCTGCAGCAGCCAAGGGGGATTGTTTGCCTAACTTGTTGGACACTTGCTTTTCAGGGCATTGGATACTATTTCAACCAGCAAGCTGACAATAATCACATTCAGACAACAACGGAGCTCTCATAAACAAGAAACTAAACAGAAGAAAATGTATTTAATCCGAGAGATTGATACGTGTCTTTAAATATATTCCAATATATTTTCAAATATTTTTCACCTTCAGAACAAGCTTACGTATAATCACAAATGTCACTTAAAGTTATTTGACTTTAGGAAATAGATAGATGGTCCAGAGAATATTGGTCGTGTTTTTAGCAAATGTCATGTTATTTGCCACCCATTCTTCTTTCCTCCATTAATTCTCCTCCTCTTCTTATTTTGATGTATTTCCTGCAGTCCAGTATGATAACTACAGTGCAGGAGCTTGAGAGCAGCCATGTAGGTTAACTTTTTCAGGAATGGCCAAACAATAGTTGTTAATTAAGGAGGAAAATATCTTTATGCAAATTAACAGGAACTGGAGAAAGAGAGAACTCATCTCATGGAAGAGGTAACTGCAAACAAAAGAAGGATGAAAGAGTTAGAAGATAATTTGCTTTACCGGCTGACGAGTACCCAGGGGTCCCTGGTGGAAGACGAGAGTCTCACTGCTGTGCTGAGTAACACAAAAAAGACCGCAGAAGAGGTGACACAGAAGCTGGAAATTTCGGCCGAGACAGAAATTCAAATTAACTCAGCCCGGGAGGAATACAGACCTGGTGAGTTTGGTAATGAAAGACAAATGTCACAGGAAAATGAAGTGAGAAAAAACCCCGAAATTTGGAGAAACTGAAGGAGCGAAGGACATTAATGCAAATGGCTGCGCCAGGTGGGGTGGTCCTTCCTGTTTTGTGGCACTGCTTTGGGACGCATTCAGTAAACCTGAGATGAAGAAAAGATTGTATAATGGTGTTAATTGTCTAGGTGCTTATGATTCCTGTGAGTTGGCAAATTCTTTAAACTTAGAAAGTAGGGGCGCCTGGGTGGCTCAGTCGTTAAGCGTCTGCCTTCGGCTCAGGTCATGATCCCAGGGTCCTGGGATCGAGCCCCGCATCGGGCTCCCTGCTCG